CGGGAATGTATAATTGAATGTATAAAGAAAACTATGTATTTGACGTTCGGATTTTATATATATTGAGAGCAAATTTTAATCTGAAATCCGAATTTTAATAATATCTTTGTTCACAGCAACTTAGAAATACAAATCAAACGATATCGTATAAAACAAAACATGTATCACTGCATCTTAATAAATGTTTAAAATCCGTTTATTAACCTACTCTTCAAGTGAATACTTTTGCATCTGAATTATTTGAGTTATTTCTATGATTTTTTACCGGATGTTTTTCTAAAAGAAAATTGTAAACCAAAGATGGAAAAGTTCGCAGACTGGTTTCATCAATGTTAGTAGTCTAGTACGCAGTTCATATCAGAATTAGTTGTCGTTTTTATATATCTATTAAATGGTTGTTACACTAATTTCTCGGCACATGTCTCCACTTTAATTAAAAAAAATTCCCGTTTGAATTTATTCTAGACTAGTTGCATTGGCACCTTTTAAATATTATTAACGAACAATTTAAAAGCAATAACGTTAGAACAAAATTAATTGTTGAAGAGACAGTGAAGCATGCAACCAAATTTTCATTGTTTTCAGACTACAAATTTATCTACAAGCATACTGTACTTTAGTTTGGATCCACTTTTTATATCCATCTTTTATATATACACTGGCCGGCAAAAAATTGGACACTATAAATTTCCGAAAATAAAAATTCATTGGAAGTTTTATACACTTACTTATGTTTCATATTGTATACTCAACATCGTACACTTTGAAAACAAAAAATGGCCATTAGGTACCGCTTGATTCCTTAGCATAATTTATTTAATTAAAAGACTACAAAAGAAAATATTGTAATATCGAAACGAATTACAAACAATATAAATTATGAGTGAACTTAAAAAAATTGCCTAATATCGAATAATATGCTCTAAAACCATGTTTGCTTTTGTAAATGTCCACGTTTGGGACATTTACAAAAGCAAACATGAACAAAATCATAAAAACCCAAAGAGCATTGGCAAGACAAATGTTGCACATAAGACTAATGGATTAAAAGAGAAACGAGTGGATAAGAGAGAAAACAAAAGTAAGGGATGTTAGACAAGAAGTTGTAAAATTGAAATGGAGATTTGCCGGACACAATATAAGACAAAAAGAAGACCGATGGAACAAACGTTGGAGACCGTGGGAATATAAACGAAGTAGAGGAAGGCACCAAATGAGATGGGCAGATGATATCAATAAGCACGTGGGCTCTAGGTGGATGACTGTAGCGACAGACAGAGAAGAATGGAAAAGGATTGGGGAGGCCTATGTCCAAAGATGGACCGAAGAAGGCTAATTAGATAGATATATAGATGCTCTAAAACATTAATAACAGTTTGCATACAATTTGGAAAAGACAGGAACAAATTTTAAATAAAAACTTGAGGAATACGTTTATATTCTTCACGAAGCATGTTTTGAAGTTCAGCAAGACTTTCTGGCTAGCCTGGTTGACTTCGAACCCTACGATGAAGTTCATTCCAAAGATGGTCGATGATATTAAGATCAGGGCTACAGGCTGGCCATTTTAGAGTATTAATTCCTACTTCTTCCACGTAATTTGTCACGATTTTTGCAGTATGCGACCGTGCACTATAGTGCATAAAGACGAAATAGTCTCCAACAAATAGAGCAAATGGACCTAGTGCTTCTGCCAAAAGATCCTCTATATATCGGTGAGCATTTAGGGGACCATTAATAAAAAAAGTTCTGTTAGATATTCAAACGAGATTCTAGCTCAAACCATGACACCACCACTGCCAAACTTTCTTCACTGGGACATACAAACTTGGGCAAATCTTTTATTTCTCCGTCTCCAAATCCTCTCCCGGTCATCGTCAGACTTCAAAAATGAATCGATTTCTGCAGTATCTGGGTTGTAATTAAAGAGCAATAGCCGGCCTTTTTGCCATTAGTCCTCTTTCATTGAGGCATCTCCTAACCGTTCTCCCACTTACATTTACATTTCGAACCTCCTACAGACAGTTTCTTGCAGCAGTTGTAGTGGAATGGCGATTTCTTAAAATTTCCATCACAATAAAACGATCATCTCTTTGCGAGGTAACTCTTCTACAACCGGAACCAGGTCGACGTGAGTATGTACCAGTCTCTATAAAGCGATGGAAATTACTCTGTATTGTAGTTCTCGAAATACCTAAAGGTTGTTAACTTATAATATAAACAGTGACTACAGAAAACAACAACATAAACGTCACAACTGTTAAAAGCATACATGATCGCAATAAATATTTAAATTGAGACGCAATATAAAACAGTGCATAAAACTTCCAATGAATTTTTATTTTCGGAAATTTATAGGGTGGCCAATTTTTTGCCGTTCAGTGCAAAATAAAATAAAGGTAGAAGGTATCGGCATAGCTGGCAACGAAGAAAAAAAATTAATAAAATATGTGTATAATATCGAAGGCAGGGGACAGGAGGAAATTATGATTGTCGGGGATAATCAGACCCATGAACTGAAAAGAAGGATCGGTATTGGGTGAGCAGCATATGAAAAACTGAGAAAAAACTTTTAAATTTGAGCTGCCCACATGCCGAAAGATAACTTTTAGAAAAGTATTTGATCAATGCGTCCCCCCAATGCTCACATACGGAGCAGAAATACCTAAGGCCACCAAACTAACAGTCATACAGAAAAGAATGAAGCGATACATGTTAGGAGTAACTCTACGAGACAAAATAAAAAGACAAAGAGCTCAGGAGAAGAACGAAGGTGACTGACGTCATAGAAAGGATAGCCCGACTAAAATGGAGATAGGCGTGACACATAGCTAGAATGACGGATAGGCGATGAATAAAGAGGTTATTGGGAATGGGCTGAACCACCTACACGATGGGCTGACGATTTGAGACGAAAAAATAAAAAATGGATGAGAGTGGCGCAGGATAGACGGGTATTGGAAAAAGAGGAAGAGACCCATGTTCAGCAGTAGACTGTTGAGTCTGAATGGTGTTAAAATGGAAGGCAACCGTATATACGTATTTCTGACTATTGGTCGTCTTCATTACGGTGCAGCCAAGTTAGAGAAGGAGTTTGTTAACTTAGGAAAGGATCACTACAGGAGCAATGACCCTTTCCCAAGTTAACATGCACTTTTTCTAACTTAGCTGCAACCTACCGAAGACGACCAATAATTACATAGAAATACGGATATACGGTTGCCTTCCATCTTATACACATATTTTATTATATTTTTGTCCCTTTGTTGCGAGCTATGCCGATACCATTATAAACCCGGTTTTATAGCATTATATGCCTTTCCGTTCCTAATCGCTATTCCTTTCTATAGTAGCAGCCTTCATCCATTAAATTTCTTTCCCACATAGCCGGAAATGCCCTTTTGAGGGACACTGAAACACTTTTTTGAGGATTCTTCTTTCCTCCATTCGTCTTACGTGCCCGTATCGTACTAGCTGTTATAGTGATACATAGCATCCTTACCGTAATCGTTTAGTGGCCAGGAAGCTTCTTGATATTCTATTTCCAATTTTAATTTTGAACGTCGAGTTTTAATTTATTTCTTTCAGCGCCTGTATTTATGCTGGTTTTTTCTCGTCCTTTCTAGAATTTGTTAATGGGTTCCGTGTCATATGCCTTCGATAGATCTACCATAAGTAAATGTAACTCTTGTGCCATTGATAGCCTTTTTCTATTACTTGGGTTATACAGAAATGTTGTTTATTTTAATTTACCTGGTCTAAAGCCAGCTGCTTTATTTTTCTAATTTTTATGGATGGTACTCTTCACATATGGAGTCTGTTAATATTCTTCCGTACAGTCGTCTTAGTGTGTTAGTTGCGGTAATACCTCTCTAGTTATTTGGCTCTTGTTTACTACCTTTCCTATGTACAGATGTTATCCATATTTCTATCCATATCTGTGGTACCGGTTCTTTATTTAAAAATCTGTTAAATAATATTGTTATTATTTTTGCTAATTATTCAGTACCATTTTTAGTGCTTCTGCGAGTATTCCTTCCGGCCCTGGAGCGCGGCCGTTTTTCAATAAGGATCTTGTTTTTTTTGGACTATTCCTTGTTTTTATTGATTGGTTGTCCTTACATACCTACCTATGTTTTCTACCTACATACCTACTTATCTCTTTATCGTTGAAATATATTTACATAATCACATCGTGATCACACACAAAAATAAGGTTTAAGGAGTCGCTTATGCGAAAAGTGGATAATTCATGATATTAGATTCTTCGTATACCTCTTTCTTTAAGGACATTAATGATCATCATACTATTTTACTCTGTCTACAGTGATGCTGAAGAGTTCTATTTTTGTTTTTCCACTCCACTGCTTTAAATATTTTAAACCAGGACGTGCGTTGTCTCACCGATCCTCTTATTCCTTGTACTTTTCCTTGTATAACCAATCGCATTAACTCACATTTTTCTTTTCTTAGTTTGTGACCAAAGTAGGTCATTTTTCTTTTCTTCATAGTGTCGAGTTTTTTTTTGTTCATCTTCCTTAATAATTTCGTCTTTGTTACGTGTTGTATCCATGATATTTTCTACGTTTTTCGATAAGAACACATCTTTAAAGCTGGCAACTCTTTTTTCAGTTGCGTCCGTAATTATTCAGGCTTTAACTTCATAGAAAAGGACAGAGAATAGGTACCATCTCAATACTCTAGTTCTAATTTCAATTCCATTTAGATTAAACACTTTATAATGTCGATTTTTGATTCTGAATTTTTTTCCCGAATTTTCCATTTTTGTAGTTGTATCATAGTCATACTATGGCTAGCAACAACATTTTATGGTACAGAAATATTGAGTTTGGTTGACTTCACTCAACAGCTCAACACTCAACTCAAAGCGGTCCCGACTGTGATGAAGTATTAAAGATATTAAATATAGAATAAATCTTCAAACTGTTATTTGAGAATAAATATTATTTACATTTTTTATTTATCATGACAATACTTACGTAGAACTAAACGTAGCCACAGTAAATGTTGAAGGAAAATTATCCTTCCCCTTCTCCATCTTGAGGTCTAGAAAAAATAAATAATTGTTAACAAAAAATTTTTTATTTTAATTTAAAGATTTATATTATTGTAGCCTTAAAAAGGTAATATTTTTAAATATCAGCTTATATTAATTCAACTTTTGACATAACATTTGACATAACTTTTGACACATAACTAAAGGCCACTCCGTCGGAGGTAGATATCGATTTCACACAAATGCTATAGTTGATTACAAAAACAAAGGAAACAATTAGGCTATCACTATAAGAATCAAGAGTATCGTCTTGCGAGTATGTCTAAATATATACGCAAAGACAAAACGAAAAGGGAAGTAAATCTTGCATATGTAATAATTTTGCCGATTCACTCCCGCACAAATTTCCAATGTCGAACGCGCGTATAGAAGTATAACTTCAAAAATCTATTACAGGTTGCGTGGGAAAATAAATTTCAGAAACATCAACATGTTAGAGCTGTATCACATTTAGCCAAAAAAGACAAAACTAAATCTGGAAAAAAATATCAATCTTCGGTTTCTTGTCACATTTTCGATCAAGTTCGAAAGATGGAAACAAACAAGATACTTTTAATGAATACTTATGCCGTGCATTAATCTCTTCAAATAGACCACTTTCAAAATTATCCAATGAAAACTTAACTTCTTTTTAAAAAAATATTATGAATTGAATACTCCAAGTGAAAGGACTCTAAAGAGAAACCATGTCAACTCGTACTCGACACACACACACATATATATATATATATATATACATATATATATAATATATATATATATATATATATATATATATATATATATATATATATATATATATATATATATATATATATATATATGTATATATATATATATATATATATATATATATATATATACAAACAACACAGTTTATTACGGTTGCAGTCAGAATATTGGCGGGGATGTTAAAAAAACAAAACACTCTTTTGACTTTTTGTCGAGCTTTTGGAATGGTTTTATTCCTTTTTCAAGACACTGTAATAAGACAAATATGTAAATATTTAAAAAATATCACAATCCTTTAGTGTAACTTACTAGTCGTTGAGATTATTTATATAAGCACTGACACTCAACATTTATAACACACATTAAAATATACAATTATGGACAAAATACATTATAAAATTTTTAAAATTTATTGTAAAAATAGTAAAACTAGAGGCCCTTCTTAGGTAACTATACTTTTTAAACGTTTAAAGTAAAGTTTACTTTTGTTTTTTAATATTGGCTCCAGGAATAATTTAGTTGTGTTAGATCTATTATAATGTGACGATAAATTGGGAAGGTCATCGAGAAATTGATTTAAGTAGACCACTTCTGCACTGTTGTTTCTAGGTGTTGGCCTCTTTGAGTTTTCGTTAGCTTTATAAGAATGCATGCTGTATTCACCTTTTTGTACCTAAGACTGTACCGTGAATGAACCCAACGCTATCGTCTTTAAAAACATTTGTCTGCAGACCGGTACCTTTTCACCTTTCAAAGGTAAGCTATATTGTAATGTGCCGTCACGTCTCGATTAGCCTTCTGTAGTCCTTTGTTTCACTTGAATTCTGCTGACATGAGAAGCAACAAAAACTTTCCTTTGATTGTATTCGAGTGTACTGGAATAATTTTTTTCGAGTTTCTTGAGAAAAATTAGCGCATATTCGAACTTTCGATCGTTTACAAAGCTTTGAGTTACAAGTGGAGCTAATTTGCCTAGCCTTCCTGATTATGTTGTGCTTCACTACTATTTTTCTCTTTCTCCCTATTTTCAAGTTTCCATTATCAGCGTCAATTTCATTAGTAATATCTTTCAAATGTTGTTCTTGTATTGGATCTTTCACGTCGTCTGTATTGGTATTTTTGATAGTTTGGTTATCCGCAGGCAACAATAACTCGTTTACATGGTGATTTATATCCTCATTATTTGTAAAGGTTGGGTCATCAAATTCTAGTTCTCTTCGTTTAAACACTGGATTTCCCAGTCATGTAGCTTCATCTAAAATATTTTCATTCAAGATAATAATGTCCATATTTTCTATATTCATTATAGGTTCGTTTAAATTTAGGTCTGATGTTATGGGAATAGTGTCCATGGTTTCGAAATATTTTTGTCTGATCGTTGAAGTGTACTGAATTTAAAATTGTCATTAATGTTTATTTTGTTCAACGTAGAAGTACAAACGTTTGACTTAATTGACTGAGAAGTAGTGCCAATACTGGAATCAATAATATTGCATTTTTTTACTTGTGTTGAAGATTGTATAAAACCCACTGGGGTTTTTCCAATTTTGGAGAGATGCAAAATTTTTTTGGTTCTTTCAGACATTTGTAATAAAAAATAACCGTCTTTAACACTAAATTTCTTCGAATAATGATTTAAAATAATCTTTAGAATTAAACAGAATCGGAAATAACTCTTATCTGACTGAGAGGTAAAATAAAACAGCATCAGAAATACCTCCTAACTGAAACTATGGTTATAATCATGATTATCATTAGTAAAAAACTGATTACTTTGTTTAAATTACAGTAAGATAAGTAAACAGATCATGTTAATTTAAGTGTCAATAAAGAAAAATAATTTGAATAGACAAATACTTTAAAATGGTTGAATATACGGTAGTCTCTCGTATCACGTGGAAACAATATGCACCAATTTTGTTGGATAGAAGGGATTACGTTCAGTTTTTCGAGCGCTGCAGATAGTACCTAGGTAGCGGTTTAATGAAATAATGTAAGAAATAATTTTTTTCTGGTCAAGAGCTATTCACAGGCATGCTTAGTTAGAAAATACAAATCACATGGAATAATAAATGTATTTACGAAGAAATTATCAGATAGGAGGTATTCAGGACATGGACGATTTGTTTCCATTGACTATATGCATATTTCCTAAAAAATCCATATTTTCTAAAATAAATGCATATTTCATCCATGTTTTTGGGTGAATTAGTGCATATTTATGCTCATATTTTTTACTTATTTTGCGTTACTAATAAGTAGGTATTACTTATACCAAGTTAGCCTAGGCTGGACTAAACTGCTTATTATTTTATAGTAGTCCGTTTGTGATTAGAATGTGGAATACTGAGCACAATCTACAAATTATCGCCTAAAAGAACTAGAATTTGCTTAAATCTTTATATTTTATAGTTGTAAACTGATTAAACTGATGATTTTAGTCTTTTTTGATTTTTATTCTACTTATTTTTTGTATTCCTCTAATATTTCCATTATTATTGCTAGCTTAAAATTTTTATCTTATTGTAACTGTTCAGTTGTTTTTGTTTTTAAATAGCAACAATAACAACAACTGTAAATAAATATATTCAAATGTTTTAGTCTGGTCCAACAGGTTAGTGAATGTATTTTATGACCTTGTCTGGGCTGGACGAATTGCATTTGTGACGATGCTGAAGAACTGCTAACAATTACCGAATTCTTTCATGCCAAAATACAGCTAATGTATAAAAGATATCAGTGGTGGAACTTGTTACGGGGTATTTGCATAAACATTTTGCATAAACATTAAACAATTTTAAATAAAGGTTTGATTATAATGTTGTAGAGTATTTTAAGTTATAAGGGTAAATTGAGCTAAATATATGGACAGGGTTAATAAAAAAATACAAAAGAAGTGTACGTAAGATTTATATATCCCTCAGCTACTATAATCTGGGTCTGTCAGACCCAGAGAGCTCCCGACAACCACGCACTCTCCCCAACTTAAGTAATTTTTGGCTGGGGCTCCGGCTATTCTCAGCTTATTTACTCTGAAATATGATAGTCAAGAGTGAATAAATTTTATTTGGAACTAGCGACTTTTATAGACGTAGCTGGGTGTATTAGAACCACTTATAGGAATTATGTAACTTTTTCATAATTATTGTGTTTTAGGTAAATATTATTTTATATCAGTTTAATGTAGTATATCCTAATTTATTTAATTTGAAATTGTTTTTTGTCGTTTTTTAAGTAATATAATATGTATTTTCTTCCTTTTAGTTTAAAATTGCTCGAAATAAACTTATTTTGTCCGTCGTCGTACGGTCGAAGATATTGACAGAGAACTAGTGTTCGTAGTTATCTGATATTGATGCCGTATTTTAAAGTAAGGATTTTTGGGTTGATGATCCGAAAAATGTTGCATCAACGTCGGCGTGGTCTTCAACAAATGTTTTAGTGATATCGACTGTGATACATTAGATAAAGAGCGGACTCAAACTTCTAATCAAGAGACCGAACAATCTGAAAATAAAGATGCAATGAAAGACAAAAGCAAAGAAATTACTACTATGAAAAAGACAAAACAAAATGGTCTAAAATTCCTCCAAAAAGAACTAAAGCTCCCAAAGAAAATATTGTGACAGTTCTGCCTGGTTTAAATGGTGCCATTCGCACATTTAAATGGTGCACAATCTGAAAATAAAGATGCAATGAAAGACAAAAGCAAAGAAATTACTACTATGAAAAAGACAAAACAAAATGGTCTAAAATTCCTCCAAAAAGAACTAAAGCTCCCAAAGAAAATATTGTGACAGTTCTGCCTGGTTTAAATGGTGCCATTCGCGCTGATACTTATCACAGTATTATAGACAAGGAAATTATATCCCTCGGGAAAAATTCCTAAAACAGCGTTACCACAATCTTGAAACAATTTTCTAACTTCTTGTTTATTTTGTAACAATATGGTCACTTGAGTTTTGTCTACTATTTCTAAGTAGAATTATTATGACTAAGAATTCGCTAAAAAAGCGACAATAAAATTGAACAAAATGTCGCATTACCCTACATACATAGTTACAAGATCTACAGCCAAATAAAAATTATGTGAAAACTAATATTATCTGTCCGCCACTGTTTACCATTTGGTACCTAATTGTTAATGTGAAAGAAGAGTATAATTTCGGTACTCATAAATACAAATAGCCTGTTTTTATCTGTAAAAAATTGTTCGAAATGAGTATCTGTATAATGTAAGTTGGATGATG